GCCCCACCCCCCCCCCCCCCCCCCCGTTCGTGCCGGTGCAGCAGGCTGCATGCTTGTCCTGCGCGTGTGATTCTCTTTCCAATTGGTTTGTATTTGTGTTTTTAGGGTGGTTGAGGTGCTGACCCTCTGTCTGTGGAAGCATGTCGGGCCCCGTGCCAAGTCGAGCCAGGGTCTATGCGGATGTGAACACTCAGAGACCCCGCGAGTACTGGGACTACGAGTCACACGTCGTGGAATGGGGGTATGACGGGCGCGAAACTGCGCGTGTGATTCTCTTTCCAATTGGTTTGTATTTGTGTTTTTAGGGTGGTTGAGGTGCTGACCCTCTGTCTGTGGAAGCATGTCGGGCCCCGTGCCAAGTCGAGCCAGGGTCTATGCGGATGTGAACACTCAGAGACCCCGCGAGTACTGGGACTACGAGTCACACGTCGTGGAATGGGGGTATGACGGGCGCGAAAGGGAAACCCCCTGGGCTCCAGATTTAGTTAACAGCTCGCTTGCCAAGTGCCAAGGCTGCTTAGCCCCTATTTTCAAATGTAGGGGCCTAACGTTAGGCTTCAGAATACACATGTAATCACCTTACTAATCACAGGAGCTAGCTTTTACCTAGCGCTGTTCATCACTAGACCTCAGTGTGTGTCAGTGTCAGTATCCCCAACGGACAGAGGAGGAAACCGAGGCATGGAGCAGGGTTTTGGCTTGCCCAAGTAGCAGGCCAGTGCCAGAGCAGTGTGACAAACCCAGCTCACCAGGGCACTGTCTGCTAGGTCACACTCCCTCGTGGATAGACACTAGCATTCAGAGGTTTCCAGCGCTTTGACAACACCCTGTTTTCACTCCAGTGCCCAGCTTTCAGTGCCTGCGTTTGGAACCATTGGCCTGAGTGCGAGAGCTGTGCCGCGGGTTCGCAGAGCATCATCTGGAGGGGCCGTTTCCAGGGAGTCTGGGCTTGGTAGGGGATTCAAGTCTAGTTACAGTAGGGCAGGGGTCACCAACCAGTCGATCGGGATCTACTGGTCGATCTTGGAGCCTCTGAGAGGTGATCGACTGGTTTGGCCAAGAAGCTATTAAGTGCTGGCATGTCAGCTGCCCCTCCACTGCCTCGCCACTCCTTACCTTTGCCTTGGAGCTGCCTCCCCCACCCCAGGAGTCTCCTGCTTTCTGGGCAGGGCAGGGAAGAGGAGAGAGGCGCTGATGTCAAGGTGCCCCCTCTCCCACCCTGTGTCCTATCACCACAGAGCAGAGAGGGGGCATATCGGGACTTGGGATGGAGAGTGCAGGCTGCTTTGGGGAGTGGTGCAGGGCCAGGACAGGGAGCCTGCCCTAGCCTCACTGCCCCACCACCCAGCAGCCACCTGAGGTCAGCAGGGCCCTGTCGGAGCCCACATCCTGAAAGCCTCCTCAGTCATGCACCCCTCCTGCCCCAGCCCCAAGCACCCCTGCATCCAAACACCCTCCCACAGCCTGCACCTAGAACCCCTCCTACATCCCAACGGTCGGCCCCACGGTCAGCTCAGAGCCCCTCTCACACCCCAGATCCCTTCATCCAAGACCAGAGCCTGCACCCCCACTCACTGCCCCTGCCTGGCGAAAGGGAGGGAGGATGGAGTGAGCAGGGGCGGGGTCTCAGAGAAGGGGTAGAAAGGAGGCGGGGCCAAGGTATTTGGGCTTGAGGTAGCTCTTGGATTGCGCTTAAATTAAAACAGTGATCTCCTGCTTTAAAAGGTTGGAGCCCCCTGCAGTAAGGCCTTTGCCAAGCACATTTTGAAGCCTTTATCGGTCTAGGCAGGTCTGTTAGCTCTGGCTGCGCTTCGGGTGTTTCCCCATCATTGCTAACACCCCTGGAGGCGCCCTGACTGTCAGCCTTAGGTACAGGTAGGCACGTTGCCGCGGCGTCTCTTCACACCAACTCACGGAGTTGCTCAGAGCAGAGCCGAGTGACCCAGTGCAGAAAACGCCCTTGGCGGCCAGCAGTGCCTCTGGGGCAGGGTTCCCCGTGCGCCGAGCATCAGGTGGTGGTGGGACGCTTGAACACTGTCTTTGCCGGCGGGGGCCGCGTGGGAATCCTCACCTCTGGGAAAGCTGTGCTCGTGACTGTAGGCAACTCTCCCAAACAAGCGACAGCGTTTACCTAAGTGGACGTGTGAGCTAGTACCCAGGTCTGCTCGGCTGTGCCGGGGCTGGCAACACTAGTGCTGACTGCAAGGCTGGGTCTGTTCTGGGAACAGGAGAGAGAGGGACCACCCTGAGCTCCCCAACTCACTTCATACACAGGCCACGGCGCAGCCCGGACTGCGGCTGGCGACTCGGAGCAGAAAGATTCCTTGGGCAGTTAGTTCCCTGTTTCCTGACTGGCCAGCCTGTGGGGAACATGCCCCAAAGCCTTGTATCTCTCCAGGGCTAATGACCCCACCTCCTCCCTCGGCAGCTTTTCCTCCTTCTCGCTCTGAACTTCCCTGTGCTTGTTCCCGTTGAGCAAGGACTGCTCCCTGCTTCTCTCACACAGCCCGCCGTGGTTCCTTCGGTGGTGGACCTTGCAATTCCGTGGCAGCGGTAGCCGTCCGTGGGCGCTGCGCTCCCTTAGCGACGGGGCGCTTGCAGTGTGTGACGCCGCGCTCTCTCATTCCCCACCTTGCTTCCTCTAACAAGAGCTTTGGAGACTTTCTACCTTTCCCCCGACTTAGCAGGGAGAATTTCCAGCGCGTTTGCTGATTCCTGTAGTCCTGTCAGGTGGATTCCACAGGGCCTTGGTGTGCAGGATCCTGGGGAGATGTTCCCTGTTCTTTCCTGTTTCCCCTTGCTCCAAGTGTGCATGCCCCATTAGCGACAAATGGAAATTGACAGGCCCCTGCCCAGGGGAGGGCAGCGCTGCGTTTCATGTGCCAGGGAAGCCTTGGCTCTCCTTTGGCACCTTCTGTCCGGGGATGCTGGAGTGTGGTAGGAGTTAACCCTCGCCACCCCTCCTGTCCTTTCTGGAGATGGCAGAACTGAGGCCCAAAGAGGGGAAGTATTGCTCGGGGAGATGGGGGAGCTGGCAGTAGGCCCCAGGAGTCCTGACTCCACCTGCTCCTCACACAGAAGAGAGCTAAGGTTTTCAATCACCAAAAGCATTTTCTTCAGCATGGAAGTGTTTCCCCTCAGGGCGCTGTGTGGCATCCATCTGGGAAGCTGCCGCCTTCTAGCTGTAACCTGCACACCCACGTGTGCACTCGCACTAGCTGTAACCTGCACACCCATGTGTGCACTCGCACTAGTTGTAACCTGCACACCCACGTGTGCCCTCGCACTAGCTGTAACCTGCACACCCCCGTGTGCACTCGCACTAACTGTAATCTGCACGCCCACGTGTGCACTCGCACTAGCTGTAATCTGCACGCCCACGTGTGCACTCGCACTAGCTGTAATCTGCACGCCCACGTGTGCACTCGCACTAGCTGTAATCTGCACGCCCACGTGTGCACTCGCACTAGCTGTAATCTGCACGCCCACGTGTGCACTCGCACTAGCTGTAATCTGCACGCCCACGTGTGCACTCGCACTAGCTGTAATCTGCACGCCCACGTGTGCACTCGCACTAGCTGTAATCTGCACGCCCACGTGTGCACTCGCACTAGCTGTAATCTGCACGCCCACGTGTGCACTCGCACTAGCTGTAATCTGCACGCCCACGTGTGCACTCGCACTAGCTGTAATCTGCACGCCCACGTGTGCACTCGCACTAGCTGTAATCTGCACGCCCACGTGTGCACTCGCACTAGCTGTAATCTGCACGCCCACGTGTGCACTCGCACTAGCTGTAATCTGCACGCCCACGTGTGCACTCGCACTAGCTGTAATCTGCACGCCCACGTGTGCACTCGCACTAGCTGTAATCTGCACGCCCACGTGTGCACTCGCACTAGCTGTAACCTGCACGCCCACGTGTGCACTCGCACTCTGTTCAGCAGCTGCCGTATCCCATCCCCGCGGTGGCTGCACGTCAGTGGTGAGTGCAGTGTTCTCGGCTGGCCTTTAGTTCTGAGGGGAGGGGTCCCCAGGGAGCAGTAGTTCTGTGCAATGGCCGCTGCTTTTGGCCAGGGCGAGGATTGGTGGGTACGTCTGTGGAGCCTGGGAGGCCCGGTTCTCCTGCCCTGATCAGAGTCTGGGAGAACGGCTCTCGGAAAGTGAGCCAGCGTTCAGTTCTGACCTGGGTCCTCCTTCGTCTTCTCTTCCCCACGTACAGCAACCAAGACGACTACCAGCTTGTGCGGAAACTTGGCCGCGGCAAATACAGTGAAGTCTTTGAAGCCATCAACATCACCAACAATGAGAAAGTCGTGGTGAAAATCCTTAAGGTGGGTGTGTTGGAGGGGGGCCTTGCGCCCGTCCTTCCCCCTCCCCCCGTTAGTCCCTGTTTGCCTCTTCCCTGTGCCGGTGGGGGGGGGGTGCTGCTGATCTCTGGGAGATGGAGCCTTTGCTGTGGGAGGCTGTTTTCATGGGACAGGAAGCGAGGACTGTAGTAGTCTGGCCGGTTCTCCTCGTCTTCTTGGCCTGCAGCGCAGAGAGCCGGTTTGCTGAAGAGCCCACGTGTCCCCTAGGGGCTGAAGGGCAATTCTGTGCTCCTCGTACTGAAAGCCCATGTGTGCTCTCTGCTCCGCTCCCCTGCTCCCACTCACTGCCCTGAGGGTCTGTTCACACATGCTAATCAGGACACCCCCACCAGCCAAGACCTTCAAACCAGAGCCGCTGCCCAGCGCGCCCTCTCATCTTTGCCATCTTTGATGGACCGAGCCGGGTCTGGGCACAGCTGAGGGCGTCCGCTCAGGGCGAATTGCTCAAATTCAGGGCTTCTTACAGCCCCCAGACTGAAGACCTCTTCAAACAGGCCACACACCAGCCCCACCGAGCGCTTCATAGAATCATAGAATCATAGAATAATAGGACTGGAAGGGACCTCGAGAGGTCATCGAGTCCAGCCCCCCGCCCTCAAGGCAGGATCAAGCTCCGTCTACACCATCCCTGACAGATGTCTATCTAACCTGTTCTTAAATATCTCCAGAGAGGGAGATTCCACCACCTCCCTTGGCAATTTATTCCAATATTTGACCACCCTGACAGTTAGGAATTTTTTCCTAATGTCCAATCTAAACCTCCCCTGCTGCACTTTAAGCCCATTACTCCATGTCCTGTCCTCAGAAACCAAGAGGAACAAATTTTCACCTTCCTCCTTGTGACACCCTTTTAGATATTTGAAAACCACTATCATGTCCCCCCTTAATCTTCTTTTTTCCAAACTAAACAAGCCCAGTTCATGAAGCCTGGCTTCGCCCACAGCTGAGGGGTTTTAGAAATCAATCGCACCTTCCCTGAACAAGTTCTGTTCGGTTCCAAGAAACCAGCCACAGATCTCAGGTCAATTTACACTCTGGATCTTACCCACAAACCACTCTGAGCCAATCCTCTAGAATCTAACACCTAATGGTTTATTAGTAGAAGAAAGAAAAGCCCGAGAGTGAGGTTGTTAAAGTATCCTACATTCCATGCATCGAATCTCCCAGTTCTCGCTGCAGACTCTAGCAGAGATGTTATAACTGCTGGCTTAAAAGTCCTTGGTGCACATCCTATGTCAGGATGGGTCCACAGTTCTTCCCGGCACCTTGATCCCTGCACTGCTGCCTCTGGGATGAAGAGCTGAGCTGAGCACAAAATGGAGGATGCCACATGGCCTGTTTATCCCTCCTTCCTCGTCTCTTCTTGGCTGCAGCAGGTCACCTGGCCCGCGGCCTATCCCTGTGCTCCCTGCTGGTAGCCCCTAGGTATCAGCCCCCCATTCTTGAGGTGTGTCCTTGGCCTGTGGAGGGCCATTATTCCATAGAGACTTGCTCATTAGCAGGTCCCTAGGCTGAGCTGCTTTGTCCATTGCTCAAGCACATACAGAGAAACGTTCGGTATCCACACAAAGCACATGCTTATAACCAGGGCTCGCCAAGCAGCGGTGAGCCCCGCTCGCCAGCCACGCAGAAGCTCACGCTGCGCATGCGCTGACTGCGCTGTGTGGCCGCACCGGGCTATAATCTACTCGCCACGGGAGAGTAGATTAGCCATTTGTCGAGCCCTGCTTATAACGTCACACACAGACATTATACAATCACATGAATAGCATATATGGAATCAGTGTAACATAAGCTTTCATTTGACGCCTCGCATGGCCCCCCTTTGTACCAATGTTTTGGGGCAAACACCCCCCCTCCAGGTGCAGCAGTGATCTGGCTGCTCCCCTAAAATCCAGTAATGCGACCCCATCTGTGTGCAGAAAACCAGTTCAGTGCACCGCCAGGAGGCACACAACCCTCGCTGGGCCGTGTTGGAATCACGAGTGCCCAGTTTCTAGGGAACCTGGCGGCTGCCTGCTCTATCCGGGTGCCGGCTGACCCTGCTGGGGCGGGGGCTTCCCCGGACTCTCGCTCTCTGGCCCGTCCCAGGGTGCTGTGGCGTTTGAGCATTGAGGCTCCTTGGCTGCCATTCCAAGGGTTCACAGCAGTCCCGTCGGCCCAGCGCTGTCTGGCCCAGTGCCAGGTGTCCCAGAGGGAGCGAACAGAACCGGGAGTCGTCCCGTGATCCCTCCCGTCGCCCGTTCCCAGCTTCTGGCAAACAGAGGTAGGGACGCCCTCCCTGCAGCCTGGCTGACAGCCACAGGGCGCTCAGCACCGCAGGGACGTGATGGGTCTGCTCCCTTCCCCCGGGGTTCCACGCTGTCTGCCCGGCCCCTGTGGCAAGCAGGCCAGCGAGGGCTGCCGGCTGGTAACGCTCTTTGCTCCCGCGCAGCCAGTGAAGAAGAAGAAGATCAAGCGCGAGATTAAGATCCTGGAGAATCTCCGCGGTGGCCCCAATATCATCAGCCTGCTCGACATAGTGAAGGACCCCGTGGTGAGGAGGGGCCTGCAGGGAGGGGGGCCAGGTGGGCAGTCGGTGCTCTCTGGCTCCGGCCGGGCTTTCACGAGCCCAGGGTGGTGGCTGAGCAGGGCCTTGGCTCTTAGCCTGTGGCAGTGGCAAGAGGGGAGCCTGTTTCCCCGGGGAGTCCTGGGCAGGGGTCACGGGGCAGGCGATCCCTGTGGCTGAGCAGGCGCCGGCGGGGAACAGGTGGGCCTGCGGGCAGCCTTCCAGCGAAGGAGGCTGAGGGTCTGGTGGGAGCAGCGGGAGGGCGCCTCCCCGTGGAACACCAGCTCTCCCCATTTTGCAGCTCACCGGCTGCCTTCCCACTAACCCACGGGTCCGCAATGAGCTGATTTTGAACGTGCCCCCTTAGCAGCCTTGCAAGTGGCCGAGCGAGACTGGAGGGGGCGGTATCCCCACCAAGAGGGGCTCTGTTGGAGCCCCTGACTGGCCTCAAAGTGAGGTTATGCCGTGCTGAGAAGTGACAGGATAGTGGTGGGGCACTTCTGCCCCATGGCAGCCTCCTTTGTCTGCCCTCTTCTCCCCCCCGCCCCCCGCCTCCGGCACTGGCCAAAGCAGCAGTCGGCCTTGTGCGTCACCGGCAGGGTGGGAAGCTGGAGGAGGGGACAGAGTGCTTCTGGCAGCCAGGCGCCTGGCTTCTTGTGTGCATGCTGAGCAGGGTCTGGAAGCTGCCAAGAGATGGCAAATCTGGGAGCCACCAGGTGGCTTGTGGAGCAGAGCTGCACCTAAACGGCACCACTGGGATAAAGCAGAGGGCTAGGGAGAAGGAGGGAGCACCGTGCTCTGGACAGCATGGAAGGCTGGCTGCCCAAGCCCCGCCCCTTCTGGGAGCATGGCCCCGCCCCCCAACCTTGCCAGGGGCCCGCGGAGGCTGTCTGTGCCCTGGTGAATATCTAGGGCTGCATGTGCTTTTTTTGTGTTGTGGTCTGTGCAGTGCCCTAGCGCTGGGCACTACGCCCCCGAAGCCAGAGAGGCTCCTGACCCGGTGGCTTTCAGGGCAAGTCTCTAGTGCGGCCGTGCCCGGGGTAACCCTGCATGGAGGGAGCGAGGGGCCTGTTCCTCGTAGCCACATTGCCCAGCCTCTGGCCGGCAGAACTAACCCACCTCCCTTTCTTTCCTCCTCGGCAGTCTCGCACGCCTGCCCTCGTCTTCGAACACGTCAACAACACAGACTTCAAGGTGAGCGCCCGGAGTCCTGCCTCCTGTCGCGTCTGTGCCCCCCAGGGGCCACTGCTGCAGAGCGCGTGGGTTGGGGAGGGAGGCCTGGAGTCGTCACCGACTCCGGCAGGGCTGTGCCGCTGCTGCTGGCTGACGGGCTCAAGGTGGGGGGCTCGGGAGGTTGGTGCGTGGGGTGGGACCTACTGCCCTGGAGTGATCTCGCCCGGGTCCCCCCTCCTGCTGCTGGCTGACAGGCTCAAGGCGGGGGGCTCGGGAGGTTGGTGCGTGGGGTGGGACCTACTGCCCTGGAGTGATCTCGCCCGGGTCCCCCCTCCTGCTGCTGTGCTGTCCGGAGGGGCCCACGCCGCCTGGCCCCGTCTCTGGCAGCGGCCTCCACGTGCTGCTGTGGAGCGGCAGTTCTCTAACTGCAGGGCACCACTCAGTTTTAAGGGGGTTCCCAGGACTTGCGGGTCCCAGGGCCAGGACCTGAGCCCCCACTCCCAGGGCCGGGGCAAAGCCCAAGGACATTAGCTCTGGGCAGGGGACTCGAGTTACAGGTAGGGATGTAAAAATGTGTTCCTTAACTAAACGTGTAACCACTGAACATTTCGGCAGCGCCACACGGGCAGCCGTCGGCTCCCCCGTCTCTCACCCCGCCCCCGCACTGACACGGAGGCAGCGGGGGGAGGAGGTGGCTCCCCATGGGTACCAGGAGCCTGCGTGTAAGCGTGCATGTCCCCAGTGGCTGGCCAGGCCTGCGCCTCGAGGCTGAGGTGTGAGCTGAGCGCTCCTCTGGCTGTGCAGCTGCTGCTGTTGTGCAGGGAGCCCCGAAACGTGCCAGCGGACGGGCGCGTGCCTGCCCCCGAGCGCGTGCAGGAGGCGGAAGGATGCTGCGCGCGAGCGGGGCAATTCCTCAACTGCTCTCCTGTTCCTGGCTTGCAGCAACTGTACCAGACGCTGTCTGACTTCGACATTCGGTTCTACATGTACGAAATCCTGAAGGTGAGCGGCGGAGTCCCCGGGGCCCTCGCCCTGACTCCCGGGGGCGCTGGGTGGGTGCTCCGGGGAGGGGCTGTCTCCTCCTGCTGCCAGAACGCACGGGCGGGGGCAGGGAACAGCAGCCCTCCCACGTGCGGTGGCCGCTTGAGCAGCAGCCCCCGGCAAGTCCCAGCCGGAGCAGGGGAAGCAGGCGGCCGGGTTGGTGGAGGGTGGGCTGTGTCTTGGGATGTGGCAGGCCCAAGTCACTGAGGCATTGAGGGCGTGTGACTCTGGGAAGCCATCCGCTCGCCCTCCCCGCTTTAGGCTGTCTCGGGGCCGGCGCAGGGAGCAGGGTGAAGAGGGGGCCGGTGTTTCTGTCTAGGTGTCCCGGTCCCGCACTGCAATCGGTCCCTTCCAGCCCCCCGCTGGGCAGCTCCTCGGCCATGGGCCAGTGGGATGCGCAGCCTGTGGTGCACGCGATGGACAGGAGCCCTGGTCTCTCCCGGGCACTGGGATGCAGTGGTGCTGCAGAGTCCCAGCCCCGCTGCCCCGGGTCAGCCTGGGAGACCAGAGATTGGGGATGGGGGCGGAACTGGCGCTGGCGCGTGCAGACCCCTGTGACGTGCTCGCTGCGGCCTGCGGCACCCTGGCAGCACCCTCCTCTGGGTGACTGACAGCCGGGGCCCGGTTCCCCCCGCAGGGATGCAGAGCGCTCATGGTGTGGAAGCAAGAGAGGGCAGGATGGCTCTGGGTGCTCGACCCTACGGGCTGCGTGGGCAGCCACGGGGCTTTCTGCGTAGCGGAGCCTGCTGGGCGTGCGCTCAGCGCCTGGGCTCGTGGCAACGAGCAGTGACGGCACTTCGGCTGCCCGGTCTTCCATCCAGGGGGTGCCCGAGGATGCATGGCCAATTCCAGCCAGCCTGGGAGTCTCCCTGCCACAGCTGCTGCCAGCGCTTGCGTTCGCCGTCCCCGGGGGTTGCTAGTCAGGGACTTGACACCGCCTCTCTTGTTCTGCCCCAGGCCCTGGATTACTGTCACAGCATGGGGGTCATGCATCGAGACGTCAAGCCGCACAACGTCATGATCGACCACGAGCACAGAAAGGTGAGGGGGCCTGGCTCGGCAGACCCCCCCGGGCGTGCCTTTCTTTCTGGTCCCTGCCCAGGGCGGGCGGGAGACACGCTGCTCCCCAGCCCCAGGGAGCTCAGCTGGGAGGGAGGGAACGAAGCCGCTGTTGGCCCTGCCTTCCAGGCCTCCCTCCCTCCCTGCATTTTACCTGCTGCAGCAGCGACCAGCAACCATTTGCTGTCTCCTCCAGACTCGGCTCCCAGCCTTCTCCTGGAAATAGCAGAGTGAACTCGCTTGCACGCTCGTGTGCACATTTGCTCCTGCTTCTCCTTTGTGCTCCTCAGGCTCGTTTGCACTCCCCGCCTGTCCTGCTCACACCCCTAGCACCAGTGTGCGCAGCTGAGGTGGTAATACCAGTGCTGCGAAACCTCACATTGGACGGGCGGGTGAGCGAATGCCTCTCGGAGCTCCATCTCCATCCGTGGGGCTGATATGCTCACAGCCCTGCCCGCTGTGCTCTGTTCCAGTCGCTCGCCGTGTCTCCCGAGTCCTACGGTGAGCGCGTGGCAGCAGCTGGAACACTGGGAGTGGTGTGTGCGCATGGGGGCTGGCGTGTGTGCAGTGGGCATGGATGTGTGTGCACTGGCTGGGGCTGATGTGTGTGCACTGGGCGTGGACGTGTGCACTGGGCGTGGATGTGTGCGCACTGGCCAGGGCTGGTGTGTGCGCACTGGGCATGGATGTACGCGCACTGGCCAGCACTGGCGTGTGTGCACTGGGGCTGCGTGCGCGCACTGGCCGGGGCTGGTGTGTGTGCACTGGGCGTGAATGTGTGTGCACTGGGAGTGGACGTGTGCGCACTGGCCGGGGCTGCGTGGACGTGTGTGCACATGGACATGTGTGCTATGGCCGGGGCTGGTGAGTGAGCACTGGGCGTGGACGTGTGTGCACTGGCCAGGGCTGGTGAGTGAGCACTGGGCGTGAATGTGTGTGCACTGGGAGTGGACGTGTGCGCACTGGCCGGGGCTGATGTGTGTGCACTGGGTGTGAATGTGTGCGCACTGGAAGTGGACGTGTGTGCACTGGCCAGGGCTGGTGTGTGTGCACTGGGCGTGGATGTGTGCGCACTGGCCAGGGCTGGTGTGTGCGCACTGGGCATGGATGTACGCGCACTGGCCAGCACTGGCGTGTGTGCACTGGGGCTGGCGTGTGTACAACCAGAGAGTGGGCTGGCGACACCGTGCCGGAGGGAGACAGACCAGCCCTTGCCGCGCTCCAGCTGGGGGTGACGATTTTGCAGCTGTGCCCAGCGCCCCTGTTTGTCTGGGGATACAGGTGCCCGTAAAACACACCTGCATCTAGTAAAGGTTGTTTTATTGGCCACCTGTCTCCCAGTGACTCGGGCTTGTAAATGGAACTGGAGATTGCTCCCAGCGCCTTTGTAGTGAGCTGCCATCTGGGGCCCTGGAAAACGCCGGACTTCAAAGGGCGGCTGCTCGAGAGCTGCGCGGGCCCTTCTCTGTGGTGTGCGGCAGGGGCAAAGCCAGCGCCTGGCAGCGAGCTCCTGGACTGTTCGCAGAGTTCTCTCCCTGCTGGGCCTCCCAGGGCTGAGTTTCTGCTTCAGCCGCCTGTTCCGGCCCTTGTCCCTGGCCAGCTTCTCTTCAGGCTGCCCACAGCATCTCCCGGCTCTGCCCCAGAGTTACTGCCTGGCCTTGTGAGCTCGGTCCCCCTTGGGTCCCCCCGGGAGCTCAGACTGACCGGCTCAGGGCTGCTTGTGGCGCTCACCTTGGGAGGTGCCTTGAGAGCCTGACGCGGGTTCATGGCGCACACGTGCCCGAGGCGCTAACAGGCTCCCGGGCTGGGCACGGTCCCGTGGCAGACGCTCCAGGGAAGCTCCTTTTCATGGGCACGGGAGCAGGGAGCTGGACCGCCAGGGGGCACGTGACGCTTTCATCAAAGAGCATCCCTTGCTCCTTTCTGGAGGGGCCCTTCGGGGGAGACGCGCTGGCGCTGCCGCTGCTGACGTCCAGCCCCATTTAGCTCAGGGCCATTGCAGACAAGCACCTGGCAGGGGAGGGAAGAGCCGCAAAGGCAGCGGCTGGCGCTGCTGGAAAACGGCGGCACGTGGTCTGCTCAGCTTGGCCGGTGCTGTCGGTGGCCGCAGCGGCTTTTAGCCTCCTCTCCACTCGCCGGCCCCCCGCAGTGTTGCAGGATAGACC